GTTGGTAAGCATTGCATTGTAGTCTCGTCAAGATGTCCCATCCTCATTATCATTTCGATCGTAGTTTCCACCCGAGTATGTTGAAATGTCTTCTAATGTTAGCCAGCAATTTCAAGATAGACAATAGGATAGTTCAATGGGACAAACTTATTAGTAGAGACACTATACTAAATGAGTTGGCTCACGCATTAAGCAGGTGTGGGTGGCCTGCAAGGACCTTTGAGGAGATACAGAAAGAACTTCTCAGGTTGCATGTAAGGTGGAAGAAGCAACGACATAAGAGTGCAACTTTCCTAAGGATTGCAGCAAATCATACTTTTTTATGGACTGGCGAAAGTGAAGACGAAGACGATATCTTCATGCCGAGCAGCAAGGCCAAGACACCCGCATCGTCGAAGGGAAGGAGTGACTCATCGTCGAAGGGCAAGAGTGCCTCATCGTCGAAGGGTAAGAGTGCTGCATCGACAGAGGATGACGACGATGTCTTCATGTAGTTTGTATGTTGTATTATCTAAGCTAAGTCGTACCATTTAATTTTGATGTACTTGTATGTTAATTATCTCTAGCTGTCTCTCCTGAAATGTAACTTGATTAACAATGCGAATGAATAGAAATATGTCTCTCGAACACATAGCTAGATATATGTCCCTCGCATACATAGATAGAATATGTCCCTCGCATATATATAGATAGATATAGTGCTAGACAAGCATCACCCATGTTGTTTTGCCATGTCGTGGAGGTGGTGGAGGCGGCGGCGTCCACATAAACCTGTGGGGTTGCCCCACGTTACGGGGAGGAAGCTCAGCTCATACCATTCCTAGTCATAATGTGTTTCCTGTGTGGGAGGTGGTGCAGGAGTCAAATACATGTCCACCCACTCGTTATGCTGCGACAAGAAATCATGTCTGTTATACCCACCTTCATGGTCACTATCCCACCCGGATCCGGATATAGACACGTCATGTCGCCTGATATCCGTAGGACCCTCTTTTGTTCTTCACCTCCTTTGTTGAGGTGGAAATCCGGTTTGGTATGTCACACTGCCTTTCATTCCTTATCATTCTTAAGCGCCTCCTTCCTCTTCCTTTTTGTTTGCTAAATTGTTCAGCAGGAAAACCAAGCATATATGTGGATATATTCAGATGATATGAGATGTCCATAGCGAGACAGG